TGCGGACATTGTCTTCTCTCCAGGATGAAGATGGGAAGGACTTGTCAGATGAAGACATCAGAGCGGAGGCTGACACCTTCATGTTTGAGGGTGAGGGTCACAGTGTGGGACTACAGTGGGAACAGGTGTCTCTCAATCCCAGGGATGTGGCTGTTGGACCCCGAATCACTCCATTCTGCCCATCTTGCCCTCCCCCATCCTCCCTGAGGGTCTCAATGTGAGGGCGCTGTCCACCCCTCCGGTGCTGAAGCAGCCCAGAGACCCAAGCCTGTCTGGCTACCCCTCAGGTCATGACACCACAGCCAGTGGCCTCTCCTGGGTTCTGTACAACCTCGCAAAGCATCCGGAATACCAGGAGCGCTGCCGGCAGGAGGTGCGAGAGCTCCTGAGGGACCGTGAGCCTCAAGAGATTGAATGGTGAGTTCAGGTCCTCGTGGCCTGTTCCTGAGCCCCTTTCATTGGCCCTGCTCCTTAGGTGGGGAAAGGAGGAAGTAGTTTTTGTTAATTCTACAATTGTGACTTAGTGGGAAAAGAAGCAGAGCCCAGAGTCAGGGCCTGGTTAGCAGGTGAACAATTGCAAGTATTTGGAACACAAGGTCTGTGCTGTTGAGAGAATTAGTGGCAATGCCACTCAGCGCATATTCAGTAAATAAACTTCCCTCCACTCCCTTCCTTATCTCCCTAAATTAGCAATTTTTTCAAACACCTTCACTCTCTGGATGTTTGCTCCTCTGCACCCTAATTCCTACACTTCTGACTAGTCCAGGGATTCACCAGGAACACCTGGGAGAAAGACTAATCCATGTCTTGTCCACAACACCTGCATCATCCATCCATCCTGTCTTTGTTCAGCAAACTCTCCCACACAGCCTTCCCATCTGCAATTTTTTACCCAGACCATTTCTGTGCTCTGGAGACATGAAAAGGACTCAGCCTGGGCCTCTGCCTTCCAGGAGCTCCCAGCCATGTGGGGGACCAGTCCCAGGTCAGGATTCTCCCAGAGAAGCAAGGCTGGGGTAGAAAAGTGTCTCAGAACAGACCTATGGTTTCAAGAGTTGGCAAAGGCAGAGGGGGAGAGGGTTAGGGAGAAATTAGGTAAGGGACACAAAGAATAATTACAATTGTAATAATAAACACCCCAATACTCTTGACTCGATCATCACATATTGTACACAAATACTGATAGTCAACACTGTTCCCTAAAATCAGGTATAATCAGTTGTGTTACAATTAAAATAAAGTGTCTCACTTGAGGCCCTTAATGATGGTCAGTAGATATTTGGGGGCAGTTGAACAACAGTGCTGTAGATCAGGAAGAGAGTGTAGACAAAGGTGGAGAGAAGAGAGAACAGAAAAGATGGACCGAGTAAGGAGAGGGAGAGGTTTGTGTGAAAGTGGGGAGAGGGTCATAGAGAGAGACAGAAGGGGGAGGAACGAGGAGGGAGAGAGAGAAAGACAGAGGGAGAGACAGAGTCATGATGAGGTGATGAAACTGGAGGTGGCAGCAGAGGCTGGCTGAGGAAGTCTTGCAAAGCAATAG